TATTACTTGCTTTCTGGTGATAATATACAGAACAAACTTGTTTAAAAATCATATATTAAAACTCGGAACTTAAGTATTATCAGACAAAGAAATTTTCTAATATTTCAATGAATATCAATGATAGCCCCGTGTCTGAAATAGGGAGATTCAAAATTCAATATTTATACATTTCTTCTTTGGTCTACAGTAAATGAAATCCAACAACACCTTGTGTTCGTCCTTTGTTTCGCATGCTTTCGACATAAAGGAATGCAAAGACCCAACTCTATCATACTTCCAATCACGAATTTCATCATCATTTAGATCGGCTCCATCAGCAACATGTGTTGTTGGAAAGGAATCCACTGCATTAGGTTTACCATACTGTAAATTGAATCTTTTGATACAAGCAGAAATAAATTTGTTCTTTGTCCTTTTACGCTCATTCTGTTTTTCATTTTGAATACAAAAAAAAAAAACCAAAAGACAGCAATGCCAAAAAAGCCCAATAGCCATCAATGTACTGGACGGCAGTGTAGTTTAGGTGTTCCATATTTTTCAATTTACAGTACAGCAAATAACAAAGAGAAAAAACAGAAACCTTAGTCGAAGGATCGGTGGTTTCGAAGATATGCTGTACTAAAGCACTAAGATCTAAGTAAGCTTCATCAACCGATGCCCGTTCAACAGTAATTCGTGAATCGAATTCAAGTAAAACTTTGAAGACTTCCGCAGATGCATCTCTGAAATGAAACTCTCCCTTATGCAGCGTTATCGTTTTGCAATATTATCTTCCATTTTTGACTTTGAAATGATTGAAAAGAAAGACCAAAGACCAAAATAATTCGACACTTATAAAGTAATAGTGGCAACTCTTTTAGAAGATCCATGATAACTTCGAAATTATTTATAAATTTATAGTATAAAGCTTTCGTATTTACATAATGTAAAGTTAACACAGATGAAGTTAACTTCTGTAAAATTAACTCAGCATTCTGCACAAATAGTTGAATACCATAGAATATAAAATTTTACGTATCGCGAAGGTAAGCAGCATCGGTTTTCAAGCTAACCTGTAACGTGTGATATCTGCCTTATCAACATGCTCCCCCATTGGTACATAACAAAGCGTCAAATCAGGACATAAAGCCTTGGCTTCCTCACCGAACATACCACGTTTGATACCAAAAGATCTTGCTTCATATGATATAGCAAGTAAACTATAATGGATCATAAAAGGATCGCTGTGAAACATAATAATTTGGAATTACCAATAAAATGATTCAATAAGCAGAAGCAGAATAAAACATTTGAAAACTGCTATAAATAAACGCAAAATGACACTCTCCAGATAAGTCAAAAAAGATGCGACTGGGAATATGATGAATTCAATAAGTGAAATAAGAAATTTTAAAACTGGGATTCGAAAAGTAACTTGAAATGACTTTTAAATAAGAACCTGGAAAATCGAGGAATGTGGTAAATTCGGATCAAAATTTTCCACAAATCACTTGGAAAAGCTTACCCACCGCCTCGGTAATTTACACTGCTATGCTGGACAACAGCGACTGGTTTACCGTAAAGGTGTGGTTGAAGACGTTGTTCCACTTGGGCATAGAAGCAATCCATATCAATCAATGCAATTATTCGTTTTTTTTCCATAATATCTCTGCAAAATTACTTTCAGAACTAACAAGAATTTTTACGATCTAAATTTAAAAGCATAAATCGATACATATGCATTCATTAATGGTTCAACATGAGTTTTCACAGAACTTGAAGCAGTATTGAATAATTGCACTCTAAATAATGACTTAAATTCGATGGATAAGAAATAAGATCAATTAGGACCAACCCTACCATATATAAAAAACATAAATCCACAATAATGTATCAGGTATCAAATCATTTAACAGTATCACTTTAATCCCAGTCGCAATATGAGCTCAAACCTATGAAATCCCATCAAAGTTTCTGTTCGATCACAGCGTGAATTCAAATCTATTTGGAAGTATATCATTTCTGAGAAGTTCATGCAGAGCGATTATACATTCTACGAAATAACTTCATTTCAATTTGCTAATAAATAGATGTCCCTCTATTTGATCAGTGATCACTCTCTGGCAGCCACATTTCAGTTCATTTCAATTTATCATAATTCTGTCATTAGTAAGTCATTAATGACACACTTCTGATATGTTCTTCCAAATTCAACTTACTTTCTGACCAACTGCAAACTATTTAGCTGTTTTGTTTAAAAAATTATGTCGTCATTTTTATGCGTTCATTCTTTACACAATTTGGGATTTTATTAGTATTTGTTTGACATTACTCATATTTACCTACTCATTTATCTATAGTTACTTGCGTGCTTGTAATTTTTGTGTTTGCTAATCACTTTTTTTGCATATTTAGCAGTCAAAATTTTCATCTTTTTTCCAGTTTGATTTTTTCTAGTGTGGTAATGGAACTAATCAATGCATACGATTTATACAAACTTGAACAAACGGATGAATTGCTTGAAACTGGTTTGCAATCTTTAGATGCGTTACTCGATGGCGGCATATCACCGGGTACCTTTCTAGAAATTGTTGGTCTATCAGCTAGTGGGAAGTCACAACTCTGGTACAGTTTGATTTCTCTTGTTCACAAAAAAGTACAGATTACAAGAGTCTGATCTTTTTTTGAATTCAGTGATTTTCCGGGCAATAAGTCTGCAAAAATTATTTAAAAAAATTTTTTTTTTAACTTTCATACACTTTATTTAGCATGCAGTTAGCAGTTAATCTGCAGAAAAATAAGACAAAAAAGGATAGCGTATATGTCGATACAGAAGGTGGATTCCACACGGAACGTATTTGTGATATTGCAGCTAAAGTATTCAGAGCAGTCAAGCCGTTGGAATCGTTAAAACGTATACGAGTTAGCCGCTGTCGTGATTTAGTTGAATTAACAAGTACTATTCATCGATTAGAATTGTTGGTACAACAAAATTTAGATGTTGGTTAATTTTTCCATTATCTGTTTTTCTGTTTTATCATTTATAAAAAAAATATTCTGAGTTGAATATGATTTCTAATTTTTTTCTTGTTCAACAAGATCTGAAGATTCTGTTTATAATTTGCACTGTTTTTTAGAGAAAACTTTTATAAACTTAGCATAATTTTGAAATGTTAAGTTTTAAAAAACTCTCATTGATATATCAAAATTCGGAATTTTTATGATAATTTATACCGTGTATAAAACAGATTTTCTAAATTACGATCTATTTTTTATATTTGACGCAGAATCACAATGTCACAAATGAGAAAGAATTATATAATTTATTTTGATGCTTCATTTGATTGTAGTGTCACTGATGTATTATGTCACTTTTTTGATGTCGTGCTTCGTATTATCTCTTTTTACAATAATTCACAAATTTGTTCGTTAGTTTTTCTAAAACAGTAATCAAAAAAGCTGCAACTAACGAATATTTTCGTGCATAACAAATAACTGGAATGAAATTTCAGATTGGTCTTATAATTGTAGACAGTGTTGCAATGCCGCTGCGTGGTGAAAGTGACTATGCGTTACGATCGAGATTAGAAATTTCACGAATTTTATCAAAATTGGCTGCTTCTTATAGATTGATCGTAAATTTTATAGATTGATTGTAAATTTTGACTAAAAGTTCGATCATCCCCTTTTATAAAGCGTTGAATGAATATTTCGTTTCGATGCTGTAAAATTCAAGCTTCTCAGCCGCTGTAATTTAGGACAATTTTTATTTCCGGTTGTTGCGGTAAATCATGTTACATATCGTTTCGAAAATGAGAAAGATGGTGAAGCTCATCTTGCGTCTGCATTGGGAACGTCATGGCAATTTTTTCATTTTGTTTTCTTAACAAGGGGCATATATATATATATATATATATATATGTATTAGATGGATAGATAGATTAGATAAATAGATAAATTAGATAGATAGGTAGGTAGATTAGATTGTATAGATAGATATAATTTATTAAGTTATGAAATTTTATGTAATCAAATTTATTAAAAAAGAATTTTGTTTAGCTAAGGATTATTTTTTAGGTCTCACCGTCCAAGTACACGTTTGTGGTTATGCCCACCTGATGCTAATTCCCAGAATAGTTCGATTTTCTTGACAAAATCACCATCTGTTCCGGATGGTTCAGTACCATTCAGAATAACGGTATATTGGCGTCAGCACATAATGCTGTTGTCCTTTATCTATTACATGTTTCAATTATTTCATTAGATCATTTTTCTTTAATATTTTTTGTGTTCCCTTCAAGTTTTCTTTTTTGCAGGAAGGTGGTTTGGTGGAAGTTGAAGTTGATATTGTAATATAATATAATTTATGAATAAATTTTAGCAGTAAGCTGTTTGTTGCATATTCTATGACACTGTTGTGTGTCACTCGTGTATTTTAACTGCAGCGATTCTCTGGATGCTTTTTTAAATGCATGTTGATGAGATTCTATTGCCAAAACTGATCATGATAGTCCCTCTAGATTTCTGTACCATTTTATTATTAAAGTTGTTAAATTGCAGACATGAAATTCCTTGCTGTTTTGGCAGAGAGTGGTGCGGCTGACACTCTGTCAAGTAAGCTCCGTCATAATGTTTGTCTATTTTCTTATGTCAATTTTATTAATCATCTAAATCTCTGGCTTACCACCTTTATTTGCAATATGACTGCAAAAGTTCAAGTAATTTTTTTTGGGTGGGTTGTTAAACGTTCATTTCTAGGGATCGTGGCTTTGATTACCGAAAAGTAATGTGAATATTTTCTTTACAGAAATCATCGAATTTGTTGCAAAGATGTGCAAAGATAAGGTGACGTTACGAATTACACCTGATGCGTTTTACCTACTCAATCCTTGTCCATTAGCTAATAATGGAAATTATTTACAAATAACACTTAATGTGGTGAGCTTTTGGGACTTGTAGAATAATGCATTTATTTATTTTTTTGTCAGTTTCGAGAGATTTCCGGCAGTTAATGAGGTGAATTGCTAAGCTTTATTTCGCATTAGGTTGTGATATACATGCTGAGGCTTTTGAGTTTTTTTATGTTTTACCCTTAAAAGAGAAGTCTTCAGTAGATGGAGATCATTCAAAAAGTTGAAATTTGTGCAAGTTTAATGTTTATTGTGAACTGATGAATCATTATATAAATTCTTTTTTTTCGGCCAAAAAAGGTGTAGAAATTTCTTTGTAATTTCGAAATTCAGGCCGAATTTTTCTCAACATACATAATGGGTGGTGTGTCGGAAGAATTCAACGAAATCTATATGGAAGTGGAGAAAGATTATTTGTTCAAAAGTATGAATGTGAAGGATCGATCGACGAAAATTCGATTGATCAAACTTGGCGATGTACCGCATTTAAAAGTGGAACAGAGGTCATGCGGAATGACTCATGAATTACCTGTAGTACTGATTCCAACCAAATATTGGAAGACCTATGATATGCCGGCTTTAAATAATATTTCGGTAGTTTGTTAATTGCTACTTCATAGATGTGTAGTATTTTCTGGCAGTTCACAAGCATTAACATTCAAGCTGATAAATGATTGAATGAATCGTTTTGATGGTGGGCATGATTACTTTCGGGAAATTCATATACGGTTATGTCTGCCCTGCAGTTTAGTTATAGCCAAGTTTTAATGAATCGTTTTAACGGTTATAATCGGATATGAAAAAAACGGTAATATTCATTGATTTTTTTGTAAATAAGATATAGTTTTCAAGTATTTTACTAAAACATCTTGTGCAAAACGTTGCTGCGTTGTCATGTGACACTATCACGTTTTATAGAGGGTGTTTAATTTGGAGAGTTATGTTACATTTCAATCATAATATATTTTCCCATATCTCAGGTTTTTTTCCTCTACCGTTGTCAACTGAGGGAAAAATGAAGAGGATGGTAAGTGCTTTGAAAAAGAGAAATCTGTAAATAGAAAAATTAGAACTTCTTTTTCAAAAATTTAATCTTTCTAAATTCCGGTTGTTACTCATTGAAAAAATTTGAGGTTTCTCTCTATCTTCCACCACTATCAACAGTACGTAGTTTGGTGACTTCGTTCAAGAATATGGGAGTAAAATATATAGTAAGTTTTCGTTTACAAAAATGAAATGATTCTACCAGCATGGCTTAAATGAGGTTTTAAAATTGATGTCAAAATCAGCATGAAGACAAAAATTTTATCTCTTCAGGAGATTAAAGGAAGTCAAGAAAATGAACTTCAATTTTGCGGTGACTTAGATATGGCAAACATTGCTATATATTTCTCGAATCTTTCTGCTGTTTCGTTGCAGAATGGTTATGGTACTGTTTACTACTTTCTCATTCTATAACAAAATATGTCCGATTAGTTTGCAAATTATATTTTTGCTCCAGATCATTAGCAATGCTGCATGGACGGTACACAATTTCAGAAAACCTTTTGGCTAAGTAAAGAAAAGATTTGATGATTGTGATCTTAAAAAAACACTTTGATGTAATAATTGGTTTGGAAAAATTGCTACCGATAAGCATCTCTTAATTTATTAACAATCTTAAATTATTAGGAAATACCATCCACTCACTCTAGTTGTTTGTTACATATATTGTGTGGCTAATATCGTCCAACACTTTTCTGTTCTGAATCTTCTAGTAATTCAACGTATAAATTCCGTGTTAAACTGTAACTTGATATAGTATGCTAAATTCTAACTTTTAAGCATGATAAAGACTTTTTGGTATTATTGCGGTGAGAAAAATAAAACAAAAATAAAACATATTCCAGTAATTGATGCAGATGATCCAGGTGCGTTACGAACAGTACGTGTTGATATTAAAGCAATTTATTTCTTTCTTCGCAGTTTTTCCGCTCTTTTCACAATGTCGCAAATATTGCTCAGTAAGTTCTATTCCTTTGTCTATAGTGTTATACGATAGGTCCTGTACAAATTCGGGGTTGGAAAACTACCATAATTTGTCGGTGATTAATGAAGAATAATTCATGTAAATGTTAAGTTTAGCTGAAGTTTGTAGTTTCAGTATATGAAATCGAATTTCTCAATTTCTTCAGGGATTGTACCGGAAAAGATGGCAGTATTTTCAGTGGAGCAAAATGATGCTTCATTACTTTATATCATGAGCGGAATGGCATAAATCATTTATGTGTGAATTATATAAAACTTGAAAAAGAAATATCATTGATCTCATTCGTTTTTTCGCACTTCAAATGTTACTTAGTAGATATTTGCGATCTTACCTGTCAAGACATTCACTTCAATATCTTCATTTTCATTTCAATTCCTTGCAAATTTTAATTCGATTTAATTCTATATTTCTCAGCTACCATTAATGGTTAATGATTTTTTTTTCTTCTGTTCTCATTCCATGATGTAAAATAAATTTTTGTGCAAAAACAAGTTGTTAAATTGAAAATTTACAGTTTTAATTCGTATGAATCGAAACACCTCGATATACCTAGTTGAAAAATTCTTTATTGTAAGAAAAAGAACGGGAAAGGTAAAATCGAGTCAGGGTTGACCTATCATAATTATACGACTAGTTAGTGATTGTGAGATATATTCAAATCCAAGGTCGAGATGAATCATCATGCACTAAAGGATGATGAATCGTGGTGGGCTTGTAATATTTAATCTTAACATTGTGGAATCAGCAGAACTATTACATCGCTATTGTCTCGTGGTATTTTGAAAATTGTCATAGTCTTTAGCAGGATGTTTTGCACCACTCCATATAAAACCGCTTCGTTATTTTCTAGATGGTTAGGATGTAATGATTCCGATTTTACGATTTTTCTATACACACATAACAAAGATTGAACGTTGTTGAAAACTTGTTCTTTGATGAAATATTATGAAAAAAAGGACCAGGACTGTGCGTCTGGAATTTTCCCACTTTCATCTTTTTTTCAATTAATCCTTCTAAAAGCTATTTTTCCAAATATTCTGTAAAATTTCAGAGTTACCCGGAAAGGTAATCTACCGCTAAAACAATGACGTCTGCTGATGAACAGTTATCGGAATGTCGTGAAGTATTTTGCTACTTCGATTCAAAGGTGTGTAACTTAAAAGGTGATAGATATCTTCGTAATCTTTAATTAAATTCATATGTTCAGGGAGATGAACGAATAGGAGTAGCGCAAGTCGGTGATGTTCTTCGTGCACTTGGACAAAACCCAACGGAAGCTGAGATCCGAAAATGTTGTTCACATTGGACTGATCCCGGTATAATTGCTAAGAATTTGTTTAACTTTTGCAGTTTCGTTTTATTTTTGAGTAAAACAGAAAAGGAACAAAGATCCACGATCTTATTTAACGCTTTATACTCAAAAGTAATTTAATATTGCTCGCAAATATTAAAAAAATGATAGAAAAATTTCCTGTTCAATGTTCAAATTTTATCATAAGTTAGTAATAGTAATATCATGATTTTTTTTGAAAATTATAAACTGAATTAGGATTTAGTGAAATTTCAGCTCTAGTTGCGGAATCATTCTATGCATTGTATGAAATCTATTATTTTTATCATTAATCTAGTCGCGGTAACTCATAAATTTTTTCAGAAACTCGTATTACATTCGAAGATTTTGTCCCGATTTATCAGTCAGTGAATAAATGCCGTGAAAGCCATACCCTGGAAGAATTCGTGGAAGGATTATCTCATTTTGATAAGGAGGTAGCTCGTCACATCTTGTATCACTGCACAATCTGCAGCGAAACTTTTTTAGTGATCATTTCCTAATATGTAGAATTTATCGTTGTAGGGAAATGGATTAATCAATGTCGCTGAGTTACGACACCTGTTAACGACTCTCGGCGAACGTTTGTCAGATGAAGAAGTAAGTCATCAATTCAAGTTTTTGAGATTAAAAAATTTTTTTCTTATCAGATGGTTATTGAGAGATCTAATATATCGATGACAATTTAAATAAAAGAGCTTTTTGTTGATCTCAAGAAAAATGCATAAATAGATATGTGTTCAAATTTCATCACTTTCCAATATAAGTGCCATCAATTCTTTGTTTTTAGGTTGATCAACTTCTGGCTGGCCATGATGATTCGCACGGCAATGTAAACATTTCCGACTTTGTGCGAGCTATTATGCATGCTTGAGTAACAGTGACCTTATGAAAAAGCTCATTTGCTCTTTATATGTATCATTATAGTAAATGTCACAGGCGATGATTATCGTAATTGTATTTTACAATTCATTTATATTCCTGAAATATTACTGCATAAAAAATTTCACGGAAACAGTTCTTTCAAGAAGAAATGGATTTTTGAAGATTCGATTACTTTTTTTGTAGACAAGATTTCACATAGGAAGAATTGGTATTCGTACCTTGCTAATTCTTCAGTTTTTAAATATGTGCCAAGTAAAGTGTTGGAATATCCTGACAGATTTTTGCATAACATTCGCAAGGAACGAAAATTTAATACTAAATTACTTTAAGTATTCACTTCTCTGTGTTATTTTTCAGCGGTTGAAAACAGTCAATGTAATAACTGTGAGGCGAGACGGGTGATTTATACTTTTCGCGATAAGTATTGGAATGTTTTTATTTTTATTTATATGTTAGTTCCCGCGGATATAGTATTGATTTTTATGAAAGTAGTGTTGTTGTTTTAAATTCTCTATACCAAACCGAAATTGCTGTTAATAAGAATTAAAGACAACAGTTAGACCTCGCTTCCAGCACGTTGGATTTCCAACTTTCTCGAAGTTATCGGATCTGAAGTGGAGAGTAACAGAAATTGACGTAAATGGGTACTATACCACGTGATGCGCAAATTATGGAAGCTATTTTAAAGGAAATGGAAATTACCGATTATGAACCGCGTGTAATTTCGCAGATGCTCGAGTTTGCCTATAGGTTATATCATTTTGGAAATATAAATTCAAGCTTAAAGTTAGTTTGAGATGTATGTATAGCCACAGTGATGCATTAAAGGATTGTAAGAGTGGTTCTTGCAAGTTTCGCAATATCAAAAAGTGGTATTATCGAATAATGATGATAGTAATCTTTTTACAGATACACGGTAGAAATTCTCGAAGATGCTCGCTCAATCAGTGAGCATGCGGGAAAGAAGCAAATCGATGAAGCTGATGTACAATTTGCCATCGATAACGCAGGTCTGTCTTTCATTCTTCTCCACTTCTAACCATTTTGATAACCAGTCAAAACATTTTCAGTCATACCGTCACTCTCAATAGTTTTTATTCAATAAAATTTTACCATTGTAAAAGTTATGCGCAAAATTATTATTCTGAAATAATGTATTTATGTCCTTGTCGTTTATTCCCGGGAAATATTTCTTGTACAATATTTATATATTATACAATGATATTTTATTCTGCTTCTTTTTTCTCACAGGTTTTTGGAAAAGTGAACGACCGAGTAGGCAGTTATTGGTAGAATTTGCAGAGCAGAAAAATGCTGTGCCACTTCCTGCAATTCGGCAAAATTACGGATTGCGATTGCCAAATGACCGATTTTGTTTGATACAACCAAATGTGGGATGGAAGGTAGCACTTCCTTCATTAATCCTTTCAGTAGCATGAAATTTCAAATTTTACTATATCAAGATTTCTCAAAAACTAACTTCCAAAAATCTGAAGAGTTTAATTTCTGTTTGGATATTCAATTAATATATTTTAGAGTAATGAGCAGTTACGCGAAATCAACGAACAGATGATCCGGAAGGAAGAACCAATCGCACGATCAGCAGAAACAGTTCGACAAACGCGACCGGAAGCTATCACCAATCTATTGAAACGGAAAGCGCCTGATGATGAAGATTTTGACATACCATAAAATAAACTCGGTAACAATGCAAATTTAAATTTGACAGAAATAATGATGATAGTAATACTAGAAACGTTAGCTTTGCAACACTGTTGAAGTACCGGTACTGAGTGGAAATCTCCCTTTATAGGGATGAGTTTAGGGAGAAAAATTGGGCATCGCTCCTCTACCTGATCTCTAATTTTAGACTGGTTAGTCCCTTTATTTTCAAATATTCCTCTAAAATGTATTTCCTGTTCATCGCGCACAACACTTTATTTGTACCTGACTACCACAAGCAGTGATTCAATGACACAGGCTTTAATCCTTCCGTATGCTCTAAGTTTTGTGTGAGATGTTTCAGTCGAAAACAACGTTATGTTAGGAGCCACTAATTGAAACAAAAACACACACATATATAGGCTAGCTTAGCTTTAGCTACATTTATGTTGTCATACGTATTCCATGGCGATGAAATGCTTTTTCCTTTTATCTTGATCGGTACTCGACAGCATGCATGTTAAAAATGTTAAGATCGTTCAAATTGTTTTCTTGCATGTATCATATTTACTTGAAAAGGAAATATTTTTTCTCACAATATAAAGTGCAATACAAATGACAAGGCCATGTTCAAGGTTTTGCCAACGTACGGCTTTTAAATTTTCTTCGGTTTCCTCCCTTGGGAAGGTAGATTACTTCCAGTTATGAAGAATAAGTTATTTAAATAAAAACTTTGAAAATATTGGAATAAGAGCGAGCATTAATTTCAGGCAAATAGCATTATAATAATATTTGGTTGCTTTCGAGAGATTTATTAATCTTACTCCCCGAAAATTAGTTGCCAGCATTACCAAACAGATTTCGATTCATATATCTTATATAGAGCGAAAAATACTATCAAGTTCTTCTTGCGTTGTAGATAATAGCTAGTTCAGAATAATTTCCGGGAAGTCCAAACCTTCGATCGTTTTTATATTTTGGTAAAATGTAAAATGTAAATCATATCCTGATCACTAAGTGACGATACAATTTACAGCATTTAAAAATTACAAAACCTATCTTTCTGACAACAGATATAACTCATTGTAAACAGCGATACATCATATAAAACTATACAGTTTCGGCAAATTGATTAAATTTCACCATTTTTTAAATTCCATTCCATCAGGAGGCCGGATTTCTGTGCGTTTTTTACTTATTTCTTTCCAGTTGGTACTTAGCACTGTTCCACCACTTTCTGTATATGATTTCACCATTGCCTTCCTCGTGTCATCATCGGCATCTTTATATAATTTCTAAAAAAATCGAATTCATAAATTTAGTGTAAAGTACTGTTGAAATCGTAAGAGAACAGGCTGTATAAATAAGTAAAGATAAATGTTCTTGGCATGGATCACTATTATTGAAGATAACTGAAGAACACCTGAAATGACCACACGCAAGTTGATAAGGAATAATTGACAATTAGGCATAGGGATGGATAACGAGACATTGTCGAAAACTCGAAGATGGTTGATTCTACAGGATAAAGTCTAGCATGCAGAATGGAGCTAATAATTTGGAGGATTTGTCCTGTCCACGACGCTTCAAAAAAAGTAAATTTTCTATAATCAACTTACAAATGAGCTCACCTGAAAAAGTATATTGACATCTCCTTTTTCTTCATCATCTTCTACTTCTTCAGCGAATTTATCCCAACTAATTAGTGCTGGCTGAAGGTGTTAGTTATATAAATCTTTGAGATGAAGGTCAGTTTTGAGTTGAATAAACAAATATAAAATAAAATAAAAGTTCTACATTGTAAAACCAATGTTCGGTTCATTTCGGCTAATCCTTCTCATGTTACTGAAGTGTACCACAACTGAGTGCACGATGTTTCAGATCACCTACCAGAACAATCTGTCTATCGTTCTAATCGAAGCTACATTCATTTCCCTTCTCTGATTTTTCTCATGTTACTCAACTCACAATAAAACACATTAAAACTGCTAAAATAAATCGTTTTATCTCATAAAACAAAACATCTAAAAAGGACCTTATTTTTGTTTTCTCCACTCTTTTCTTCCAACGTTTCCCATTGATCTAACGCCACCTTTTCCATCTTTAATTCAATCTGAAAATATAATAGTGAAAATGAAGAGCGCATTATTACACGAATGTTAAAATAAAATAAAAGTAATAAAGAAAATGATGCTGAAATGATCAACTCTACAAATTTCGTGTCTCAAAAATTTAATTTCAGAAAGTTCTAGCAAAAAAAATCAATATCATCTAAAATGTAGATAAGCTTACTACCACAATTGCTGCTTTCAAAATAGAAAAAAAAACTGATGAAACAATAAATACAATACTTTGGATGGTAAACATTTCAATTCTAATGATGTAGGATTAATCAGATGGGATAGCCGTATGTTTAATATGGTTTCACCCGCTGCTACCACTGTTAAGCAACCATCTATATAATGCGCTTTACATTGTTCTAATGTTAAGCCACGTTTCAATATCGTCACAAAAACATGGGTTTCAGTTTGATAAAAATCATATCTGAAAAATATTTTTTTCACTTTCTGTTAAAAATGACAAAATGTTTCAAGTCATGATCTGTAAACTGTTTTCAAATTACTTCTCTCTTTCCCCTTGCAATCAACCGACAAATATAAAGCAACATTGCTCTAATTTTCTGAAAACTACTGAGCTCACCTCGCAGTGTAATTCAAAAAGTTTAATGTTTTCTCGTCAAAAAAACCCACGCAACAATGATACTTCAGAGTAGGAGTAATAATAAGTAAACAAAACGGTGAACTTACTTCGTTTTTGACATAATCTGTTCTACACAAATATCGACTAGTTTCTGCAATAAGATAGTAATAACTTAGTTTTTGAAAGGAAAAAACACTAATGCTAGCATAAGAAACCGAAGCAAGTGAACCTGATGATGGAATCGATAATATTATGGTCAGAAAGCATTATGTACTATGAAGGATATTTTTTTAATGATAGATTTGATCTCTGTTAATGATATAAAAACGTTGCAGCATTAAGTAAATACCTGAATGGGTTCACTAGAAGAATCTTTAATGGATTTTCCAGATATAAAAAGTACACTGAAAATGACATCGTTCAGTTTTTATTTGCAGCTTTGATAAGTACACAATCAGAAAAATTTTCCGAAAATACTCTGTTTTCATATTTAATAGATGAGTTGAAGATTCAAAATGCATAGATTCAGAAGAATAAAAAGGAAGATCAACAAACAATATTTTTTCCTAATTCTTCATTATCTTTTTGTTTTAATGCGAAACTACATTTTAAACAGAGTAGAGAAGGTAATGAAGGAAAGGAAAAGTCGAGGTCAAATCTCCGAAGGGCCTCAAATCTCGTAAAAGTACTACTCGAATTCAATACAAATTAATATATACTGCAAAAAAAAACAACAAATTGCATTATTTTCAGCTGCGACAAAAAATGCAATAATCAGAGTGCGCCAAGATGATCTTTCACTTGTTGTTTTGATAAACGTGTGAACCCATTTTTATTGCACACTGCTATTTCCACGTTATCTTCCGTCATACCAACGTCAAAACTTTCACGCAATGTCAATAATGCCGTATGAATACCGTCATCCAGCTCTAACGCATCGCTAAATCGCTTCTCCAAAAATGTTTTTGCATTGACATCATTCTTTCCCAAAGCTGTTGCTTTCCAAGCAAAATATGCTCCCTAAATAAAACTGTTAGCGAGAGCAACGTAATAAACCAATTTTTAATTTTAAATTGTTCATTTAAAAAACATTTCAAATGAACTTTAAAACAATTTAAGATCATCAAAGTTGAAAATACTACCGAAGGATCGCACTGGAACAAAAGTGGTCGACCAGAATTTGGCTCACGGTCCCAGCCAGCAACAAGCATTGATACACCGAATGGTCGTACACCGCTGCAAAATTTTTGATTATTTAAAACCAAGTGAATTTTGGTAATTCCAGCAAACAGTCTATGGTCGTTGACAAAATTTTGATTCTTGCAATCCAATGTATCGCTTATTCTCTTTTTATATTCGAACCTTTTATTCTTCAGGAATGGATTTTTTTTCAAAGTAATTTAATCCGAGAATAAGTAGTGATACACATTATATAATTTGTGAAGGTAAGAAGTGAGAGATATCAATGAAAAGGAAAATCACTTACCCTGACTGAGTATATTCTTGCATCACTGCAGCTAACTTTGTCACAAGTTGTGTTGTCGGTATTTCTTCGCCATACATCAATTCATATTCCATCGCCAATTTCCGTGCCTTTTTAACCAGGATTCTACAAAAAAAAATACAATGTGCAACTGATAAATCCAGATAATAGATGAAACTTTATAAGTGCCAGAGACTCAAGAAATATCAACATCACATCATAAATCTGTGACATTTATAGTGTTTCGATTTTAATAAATCGTTGAATGCAGCCTGTTAATATATAACAATCACTAATCAGGAACTATAAGTTTATTTCTCTTTGTTCTAACTAGCTAACCTGTGAAATAAGGCAAAAAATTCTAAGGAAATATTTTTTTGAGAATAAATAAATGAAAACACTCATCAACTAATGCTGTTGTGGCATGACCATATTACAATCCTATTATTTTAGTAAATTCTATCCAGGATATTTCGAATTGTTTTCAAAATTAATTTACCTGTAATCAGGTCCCATGCCACTATAAACACAACCGATATGTTGACTAATCTTTTCTACTTTTGGTTGATCTTCATATAGCACCGATATCTTATTCTCGGTAGCCAAAACCACGCCATCTGATGCTGGAATTTATTTATCTCAAAACATCGATAACACTTTAAAGATATATGAGATATCTACTACTTGAACCACAGCTTATACAAATTCCTGAGTAAATGAATAAGATGATAAAATCACATCGTTCTACTACCTAGGATATTAAGTAAAATAATAAAACACGTTGTAGATTATTATGTAAATCGAATATGCATAACAGAGCGATATATATAATAATATCCAGTTGGTGTGAGGCATAGGATATTAAGTAAATAAGCAAGGAAGTGTATATCAGATAGATATGTTAAATAAATAAAAGGCAAGTGAGTAAACATGTTAGTACTTCGTTAGGTTTTCGAGTAAACGAGTGAAAGGAAATTTATGGTAGATGAATTTATGGTATTGCTTTATGGTTTCAATCATTTATTCAGAAACGCAAATAATACCAACCTCGCAATCCTACGGATGGTTGCCCATTCTTCACCGCATTTAAAGCATATTCGATTTGCATTAATTTGCCAGAAGGGCTAAAATTTGAAAAATTTGCAGTTAGAATGATAATGTCTATTGATTAAATTGTTTCAACTTTCACTAACTGCCAAACTGAATTTAAATCCTTTTATTGAAGAAATCTCTAATGTAAGATCATCAGGATATTCATATCTAGCCAGCTACGTGCAAAATTTCCAACTTGAAATATTTGTCTTACAAAACAAAGTTGACAATTTGAGGAGACTAGCAAACCGAGTTTTTACTACCATTTAAAAGGAAAATGAGTTGAGGTAGTTTACCTGAAAGTCGTAAGGGAAAAGCCATAATGATCACTTTCACCCATCCTGAAATACAATTATTAAATATAAATTGATCTCGCAAAAAGAAATGATTTCTCATCCAAGAAGTCATTACGAAGAAAATTAAAATTTTAAATAGAAAATCCCAGTGAGAATTTAATTTTTAACTTTTCGTATATTGAAATGCCTTTTAATTGAATTCTTTCAAATATTGGAAATTCACATTCTTATAAGCAACATTCTTTGAAAAAGCCTAGAATTTGTTCGTGTCATGTTAAACACTTGCTGGTTAAATTTTGTTGAATTTTCTAAATCATAAAAAATTTTCGAGCAAAAACAAATGAGTCAAATTGTGCAAAATTTTTCTTCCGGAAATAGTCGAAATATTCTGGTTACAGTTTATCTAGAAAATGAAGCCAGCAACACCCTTTCAGAGTTATTTGCAGAATAACGTGAGGTTTTAAAAATCTAAAATTTGAAATGATTTTACAAATGAGTACGAGTTGAACCCTTCCCGATAGATTTATAAAGTTTTCAGCAACAGTGCAAAAGATGGTAAATGATGTCCTTTCGACCTCTTCCCATGCTCCCACACAGCTATAAAGCAATTGAAAGATTGGAAAATGAAAAGTCCAAAGCCTTTCCAAAACACATCATTGCATTATTCATTGCATGCAACATCAATGCTACATCCTCTGTTCTGCGTGATCCTCAACTAATCCGCGATTTCAATTCTGCGTCGGGCTGTGAGTCCGGCGAGCGCTTGTAGGGCGATGGGATGGCGGAAGGGTGGAATTATTTGGCTGATCGAAGGTTTTGCTATGATTCAGACAGTTTACTATTAGAGACTGCAAAACTTAATAGTACTGTCGGATGAGAAATAAGTGGAGATGAAGGGATATTTCTTGTTGGAGGATTTGCAAAGATTGATAAAAGAAAAAAGAGTAACAAACTTTACAATTGTGAAAGTAAATTCAAAAAAGATCTTGCAAAAATTATGTCTCGTTTTCTTCTTGATTGTTCTTTGACCTCATTCATTCGAATGTTTTTGATTTAGTTTTATTTATCAAATATTTTGTTTATATTTAGCGCCCGCAAATTAATTCCGTCAAATAATTATCCTAGAAATGGCGAAATTTTGGTCCAGTCCTTTCCGAAATACCATTTTTCTTTGTTGTTAAAACATCTGGTGTCTTTATTTATTCGGTCTTTCCCCTTCTATTTATTTTCTTTTTTCCAAAATTTATTTTGCATCTGGCGCCAGTGGTATATCTTTTTAAAGTAAGTGTCATAGAGGTCATGAAATAGTTTTTATTTTTCCTGATTCCTTCCAGGTGTTTCTCTCTTTTTCCTACATAACTTATGCACTTCTTTACATTACATAGTCAACAAAAAATCTGCCAGACATTGTTATCATTTCTCTGTCTCCCTCGCTCTTTCTCCTCTCTGTTTGCCTCCATTTGTTAGCTATCCTTATCGTTTTAATCATCTTCAATGCTCATACTTATCGAATTACCACTTGATATATCTTTTTTTTACAAATTTTATACCACTACTTCCTTTCATTTTTTCATAATTCGTACGTAGATAATGGGATATTACTAATAGCTCCTGCATTAACATCGAAATGACCAATTGTTTGTGACCAACAATATTTTTGAATAACCTAGATCTCGAAAAAAGAAGCTTATTCAGAAAGTTTAAATTGTTTATCAGTGTTTGCATTGTTATCTTTTTATTTTATAACTAATCGAACATATTGTTCTAATTAACTTCTTTACATAATATGCACAAAACTGTTCTATTTACTCGCTTAATTATATCAGGTAATCCAAAGAAGAGAAAAAAATACAAAATTAACTACAGCTTAAGCATAAATAAAACATTTTGTCACATTTGATTTTTTTATACACAACATCATCATCGTCACCAACACCATTGCCATTCACATAATCCTTTTTCCACTTCATGACTAAATCAATAATGATCCAAAATGCAATTCTTTGATGCGTCGAACTGGCTATATTATTTCGGCAGGAAATCCAAATAACTCTCTAAACTTTTTTTAATTTGCTGATATTCCATATATGGAACAATTTGTCCGACCGGTTTTTTTCTTTTATTTTCATGCATGAAATAAAATAAATTTCTGGGATTGCTGAAAAAAAGATTACAATATAACGATAATGTTATCAAAATGTCGTTGCGGAAAATTGGAATTGAAGTGGACTCACAATTACCTTCATAGTTGCAGAAATCTGTGCCATCCACTGGAAACGTTAATTAAAATTACAATTCTAAACAAATAACTAAATGAATGAAGAAAAAAGAAGGTGTTCATAAATGAAATGAACGACTGGAAATAACGAATGGATAGAATTATTTGAAGAAAATGAAAAACTAGACATTTTTATCAAAACTGATTAAACTTCCATCCAAACATCTGGTGTTTCACAAGCTATCTCGTTGATTGTACAAGAGAATGGAAATGCATTATTAGAAGATTTCAGTACAATTCACAGAGTGTATTTAAATTATCCGAAATAACTTGGAATTAAATGAGATTACATGTAATCACAAGAACCGTATATATCTTTTCTGTCTACCAATTTTCCAATCCTTAAAAAAATAAGTGTGGAATTTTTGATTTTCCTATTATTCTTCATTTTTATTCAAATTGAAAGAAAACTATTCTAAGGAAGAAGGTTGTTTTTCTTTTGATTCATTCTTAAACAACAGGAAAAGAAAACTACTTTGAAGTGATATCGTTCATATATGTGCAATGTGCCTTTCAATAATGTATTCAGAATAGTTTTCCTTCTCTTCTTTTCATCAATTCGTTATTAATCAAGTACATTAAAAAAAACGGAAAGACCACTTCATAGAAGTCAAACTTAAAATATGCAGTAATATGTCACGTACAGTTGGATTCTGCTTTTTCTGCGGAATATTTTTTTGCTGTATGCAACGTTTTCCCAATTATATATTTTTTTTTACTGTCCATAGTTAAGATTGCATATTAGAGCGTAGTATAGTATAATTGGAACTATAGTGATGATATATAGATGAAGAGATAAGGATGTCATGATTAACGTTAATATATCATACTGCTTTTACAATTTCATCTTGCAGCAATATTCATTCAAGAGTGACTCTTGAATGAACATTGCTGCAAGAATGGAAAAACATTTGTTGTAAATA